CCTGCTTCTCCCTCTCCCACTCCCCCTGCTTGTGTTCCCTCTCTCTCTGTGTCTCTCTCTGCCAAATAAATAAATAAAATCTTAAAAAAAAAAAAAAAGCAGAAAAAGGACTAGAGTAGTGGGTTGAAATGAACTAATAAAAGACAGGTTAAGGACTTGGTTATGGTTTTATGGATATAATTTTCACAAAAATGTTGGGGAAGGTTGATTATTTTGTCTCTATATTGATTTACTTTTTCTGAAATATTAAGTTTTGGCTTTGTTGAATACAATGAAAGTTTTACTCATAATACATAACTATGTGTGTATGAGGACATTTAACTGGCCTTTTAAAAATTTATGAATTTTTACTGATTTCAGTAGCATTTGTAGATCAAGAATAGTATAACCCAAGACAAAGCTGTTTTTATTTTAAAACAAAGACCTTCACATTTTTATAAAACATGCCTCTGCTTCCATCAACACACACCTTTATAGAAAGAATTCTATTTAAAGAGATTAATAAGACTTAACATGGCAAGTCTCCTCATGCTGGAGACCATGCTTATTTACCAATTTTTGTGTCCTCCACGGCATATTACAACCTACAGGTGCCTAATAAAGGGATCAGTGAATCAATTTGAATTTGCAAATACTTCATGTCCTTAGAAAGCAGCACAGAGTAGTGAATAGAGCGTGGGATGTTTTCAGGCTGACCCAGATTTAAAGTGCTTTGGCACTCACTGCTGTGTGACCTTAGTGAGAATTTTAACCTCTCTGACTCTGTTGAGGATTCTCGTTTCTGTCTCAAGGGGTTGTTAACAGGGTCGAGTAAGAAAGTACACAAGGCACTTCGCACACTGTGTGGCCCACAGTGAGATCTTAAGAACTGGTAGCTATTTTGTTATTTCTGTCTGTGGCTTATAAAGTCCCTGAGGCCTAGGTTAGAAATAATAAGACAGCTCGATTTAAGCTATCTTGGCCACTCTTTCATCTTCCAGGGAGTGGAGTCCAGTGATTCTTTGCTCTCTTATTATGCTTGTGGAATTTCCCCCTGCGCCCCCCATTTTTTTTTTTTCATGAGGTCCAGATGTTCATCACTGACAGGTGTCTGTCTGGAGAGTACCAGTTATTTTATTAGGTAATCACTGAGTGCCTGGTTTCAGTCATTCACTTAGTCATTCACTCATTCATCTACTCGGCTGACACTCACTGAGGGCCTTGCCTAGCCTGAGCACTGTGCTGGGAGTTGGAATGGTAGCAGTGAGTGAGGCAGGCACAGTTCCTGCCCTCAGGGAGCTCCCCATCTAGCTAGAAGACATTGGCCAGATGCAGAACAGTGATGAAGCAGCGCCTGTCAGATACACGGTCACGGAAGGATAAGACAGCTTCATGGGAGGCATGCCAGAGCTTAGACATTCAAAGAAAATTTTCCTCTTCAGAGCACTCCTCTGGGAGGCATCAATCTTATGATTCTGCTCTCAAAATATTTTTGCAACAGTGCTTTGGGACTAGCCACCATGGAGACTGTTAAAAGAATTTTCTTTAGGCTCTGAAGGAACTTCCAAAAGAGCGGTTCTAAAACCATTTTGGCAATAACAACTTCTTCAAAAAAGATGCCTAACATTCTCAAGGGGAAGGAGCTTGTTATCTGGGATGAATGCATTCTGTGTGTATGCACAGTTGTGTAATTTCTTCAGCTTAGGTCATTTAAGAATTTTAATGCAGTGGTTTTCAACTGGGAGGCAGTTTTGTCCCCCAAGGGGTACTTGGCAACACTGGAGCCATTTTGGGGTGTCACAACTTGGGGGGTGTTGCCCCTGGCATCAGGTGGGTAGAAGCAAGGTGTACTGCTTGCTACACACCCCGCACGGGTAGGACACCCCCTCCCTCCACGAGACACACACAGCACAGAGCTAGCCTGCCCCAAATGTCTGTGGTGCTCAGGTTGAGAAGCTGATTTAATTGGTACGTCTGTTAAAAAAGTAGGTCTCATTGCTCTCCCCACTCCAGTTTCATAGTCGGTGCGGCAGGCAGCTGGAAAACCAAAAAATACTTTTGTGAAGGGGCCTCTGGTTATGTGTCAGAAACTTACTTGTTAAATGTACAGAGCAGAGCTTTGGAGATAGGAGGTCTGGGTGGGACACCCTTGCTCTCCTCCTTGCTAGCCATGTGGGCTTGGGTGATTTATAGAACCCCAAGGAGCCTCAGTTTCCCCACCTGCAATAGAAGAGCAATAATCCCTATTTCGTAGTGTTTCTGTAAATATCCACTGAAGTCATGCCTAGCAAGTGCTTAGCTCAGTCAGTGCCCCATAGGTCATGGCTAGTGCAGACCGTGACCTAAGAATGAAACTCTGTGATACACAATCACTGTGAAATATAAACATATTTACTGAGTGCCCACAAAGCTCCGTGCTTGGATTGTGGGGTCTCTGCCCTCAAGAAGTAGATAGTCTGGAGTTAGAGGAGAATAAAAGACGTGTTTTGATAAGGAGGAAGCTTGACAACAGACCACTGCATTTGCCATGCCGATGAGTACTTCTGGCAATGCGGGCAGTGAGACTCAAGGGTGGCAGGACCCCAGTGGTTTGGTGGGGGCTCAGGAGCTGTCCCCCTCCCTGAGGCTTCTGCCCCACTCAGTCTGACTGGAAATGTGGCCAGGACACGGGGAGGACTCAAGGAGACCCTGAGGACTTGAGTCTAGTTGACAGGCATGGAGAAATCCAGAGAGGAAGCTGATTTGGAGAGGAAATAATAAATTTTAAATGTTTCAACTACTGAGTTTGCAGTTGGGGAAAGATATCCAAGTGGAGTCTACAGCCAGCTGGAGGAAAGGTAGGGTTGGAAATCTGCAGAGAGACTTGGTGGGGGACATCTACTTACAGGTGAATGCTGAAACACACAGGGAAACAAGGCCTCTGAATGATGATAGAAATTGGTTCCTAGGAAGTTATTTATACCTAAAAGGAGACAAGGAAAGAAGAGCTTGTGAAGGAGTAAGGGATTGAAGGAGGGTTGGGGGATCATAGTTTCCCCCAAACCAAGGAAGGAGTGCTGCTTAGGGGGCTGGACAAATGAAGACCAAAAGAAGGCCCCTAGGTCAGGTGAGTGGGGGTCAGAAGGAAGGGGGTGGATGTGGGAGAAACCAAACTGCAGGGCTTTAAGAGGCAAGTGTGTGATAATGAAATGGAGAACAAGCACATATTGATACTAGTTTGAGAAGCTTGTCAGTAATAGGAGAAAGATGAAAAGTCAGGATATTATCAGCTTTGGGTGAGGTTTGATCCAGGATATGTATGTTTGTGTGGAGCAGGAAAGGAGCCAGGGACATGGGCAGATTGGAAATGCCAGTGGGAACTCTGTGTGGGGGACAGGACTCTGAGAGTTCAGGGAGGGGTGGGTCCTTGTAAAGGAGGTTGGGCTTCTTTTCCTCTGAGAAAGGCAGGAGGGAAGGAAATGGGAGAAAACACTGTTAACTTGAAGTTTAAAAGAAAAGGGTAAATGAAGTATACCAGACTGTAATTTCCCAAGATCTATTGCCCCTTTCATAGTAAGTAATGTGCCCCCCTCCTGAATATTTGGACCCACAAGTGATTGGAAAGAAGACTACGTTTCCCAGCTTTCCTTGGGGTTAGAGATGAGCACATGCCTGAGTTTGGGCTGGTGAGATTAAGTGGGAGAGATATGGATAACTTCTAAGAGGTTTTCATGAAGTGAAGAGTCTGATGATCTCCTATTCCTCCTTCCTGCTGGTTGGGTCGTGGATATGATGACTGGAGATGGAGCAGCCATTTTAGACCAAGAGGTGTCCTTGGGAATGGAGGTCAGGCAAGGTCAGGCAACAAGATAAAAGGAATCTGAGTCTCTGACACTGTGGTGTATCTATAGCTCCAGGCCACCCACTTCCTGACTTTTGCATGAGAGAGAAATCAAGTCACTATTAATTTGGGTTTTCTGTTACTTGCAGCCAGTCATGATCCGAACCAGTTTCTGAAGGCAGTCTCTCAGGGTTTGTCAATATAATCAGCATGGAAGTGGAGGATAGGAGGAGTGAGCAGTAAGGATGAGATCTAGGATAGCCGTTGAGAAGGGGCACCTTTAAAGATCCATACGAGGGATGCATGAAAGAGCTGCAGGCCTATGGCCCAGGGATTCCTCACCACACCTGGCTGCCTCCGGGGCTGAGGAGATCCATATCTCTGAGTAGAGGTAAACTGTTTCCAAGACACCTATTGGAAAGCTCTTGCATCAAGCTGCAGAAGTTTAGTTGGCATGGGGGAGCCCTTCCAGCAGGTGCAGAACAGAAAGAATTCACACCAAGCAGCCAGGCTCAGTCGGTCCTTCCCTGGGCTCGCACCGTGGTATAGCAGGAAGTATTACAGAACCAACGAGGATGATTGTTCATTTGAATAGGGCCTCATTAGTTACCAAATGTACTCCAGACATATTCTTGTTAATGTTATGTTTCTTGAAATGAGATATTAGTAGTAAGATAATTCGTCTTTAATTCATTTCTTGCACTGGACATTTGAAAGATTATAACCAACTGATAGATTCTTAACATGTTGAAAAAGTTTGGGTAGAAGTGTGATTGATTGATTGATTGATTTAAAAGATTTATTTATTTATTTGAGAGAGAGAGAATGAGAGAGCACGTGAGAGGGGGGAGGGTCAGAGGGAGAAGCAGACACCCTGCTGAGCAGGGAACCCTATGCGGGACTTGATCCTGGGACTCCAGGGTCATGACCTGAGCTGAAGGCAGTCACTTAACCAACTGAGCCACCCAGGCGCCCCAGGAGTGATTTAAAGTAATGAAGTTTAAGTGCCCCTGAACTAAATAATGCTGAACCAGTAAAGGGAATTTACACTCAAGTCTCGAAGCAAAAATGTGTCAAGCGTAATGTTAACAGATGTCTGGTCACTCTTGAATTCAAGGCCCACATAGATAGTGTTTTTAGGTGTTCATTTGAATTCTAGATAATACCTCCCCTGGGACTTTAACATACAGAACACGTTGTCATGTTATTCTTACCTTCAGAAATATTTATTTATTATTATTATCGTTAACGATTTTATTTATTTATCTGAGAGAGAGCGCACAAGCTGGTGGCGAGGGGGAATTGCAGAGGGAGAGGGAGAAGCAGGCTCCCCGCTGAGCAGGCTCCCCGATGTCGGGCTGGATCCCTGGGCCCTGGGATCATGCCCTGAGCTGAAAGCAGATGCTTCACCCCAACTGAGCCACCCAGGTACCCCAAAAATATTTATTGCTGTAAGCTATAACAATCTCTGAAAACATATCCCCAGATTTATTTTTAGTTTATAATGTTTCCCAATAAATATCTCACATCATTTTATAAATATTTAAATTCCCTAAGAGAAGAAATGATATAAAGCATGCCATCTTTTGCAAGTACATTATGAAATGGGCCTTTCTTGGGTGGGTGTCTGGATCCCCTCAGCAGTGGTGTCCTTTCTACTTTGTACAGAGTCAGTCCTTGACAGAGATGCTTCTCGAAGTACAGAACACTACTGGAGAACTCTACCTTGAAATAGGAATGACTCAGGAGGGCTTCCAATATTTCCAGAAAGCGTGGTCCAACCTGGTGGATTTTTCACCCAGCAACATGAAAGACAACCAGGACTTCGTGAAGCAGAAAGGTATGGCAGACAGGTGCAGAGGGGGTAACCATTGTGTTTCAGAGTTGGGCTCCTGGGCTCGTCCCAGCCACCAAGAAAGGGGAGCTGGGTGTGAGTTTTGTGGTGGGCACGTGAGGGGTGAACAGTAAACACTCGTCATGTGACAGCCCAGCCGTTCACATGACTCCGAAGCCTGCTGTTCTGGGTTTAAATCTCACCTCTCCACTTACTGGCTCTTTGCCTTTAGATCTATGACTCAACCTTTCTGGGTCACATTTTTATAAGGGAGGGATGAAAGGAGTACCTGTTGCGCATCCTTGTGAGACTAGAAGTGTTCGTAGGAGACCATGGCGCACGCAGGATGGTGCCTGGCATGCAGTCCAGTGCTCACGTGAGCCCGCTCCTTTTATTCTCCGATATTTGATGCCTGAGGCCCTGTGGTACCACTGGTAGAGCAGAGACGAAGAATGTTTACTGAATGAAGATATTAAGCATTTTTGACCCACTGATTTACAGTCAGGCTAAACTAAAGGATTCTAGACTTATGCTGTATTTAAATGGCTGCGTTAATTTGCTCTTGTTGTATAACAAGCCAGCCCAAAAGGCAGCCATTCGAACAACAGCTACTTAGTATTGCCCAGAGGCCTGTGGGTTGGCTGGGGGATTCCGCTGGTCCAGGGTGGGCTCGGCAGATTAAGGTTGGACTCGTGTCAGTGCCTGAGATCAGCTGGCCTACGAGGGCTTCCCTTAGCTGTCTGGTTGGTGACACGGGTGGCTGGGCCCCGCGTTCCTCATCCTCCAGGAGGATGCCCAGGGCCTGTTTGCTTGGCGGCTCGCAGGATTCCAAGAGAGGGGGAGCAGAAGCCTGTGTGGAGGCACAGACCTAGGATCAGACCTGGCACACACCCTCTTCTGCTGTATTCAGTTGGTCAAAGCGAGTCACCAGGCTTCATTCAAAGGGAGAGCACGAGACTCCACCTCTCGATGGGAGGAAGTGCGGAGTGGCATTGCCAAGGGGAATGGGGTACAGGTTGGCATGGGGGCTGCTGCAGTTCCTGCAATCTACCACCATGCCTATAAGATCAAAGGTCACCTTGAGCAAGCTCTTTACCCTTGCTAGATCTCATGTGTAAGTCCATTTTTATAGTAATAATTCTCATTTGTTGAATGCTTATTATGTGTAAGGCACTTTATGCTCATGATCTTTTATCCTCAAATGTACCTCACGTGGTATGTGTTGCTACCCCCATTTTACAGACAAGGAAACTGAAGGTCAGACAGGTAGAATAACTTAAACTACTTTAGCTCTCACAGCCAGCAGGCGTGGAGCTAGGAGTCCCAGCTAGGCTGATCAGACCCTAAAGCCTGTCTGCAGTAACTCCTCACTGTACAGAATCTCTTCTAGTGTTGACATTTATGAAGCTATAGTCCTCAATATACAGAGTGTAGCTTCTGAGGCACCCTCATGCAGGCAGAGCTGGTCATAGGCATGTAGGACCTTGGTGAGCAGAGGAAACCAGGGTGGGAACCAGGTGCACTCAGGTGGGTTCCGAGACTGGCCTTCCAAAGCCGGCGGGGCAGTCTAAAGTGCAGAGCTCCTTGGAGTTGAGCAGACCTTGGCTTGGTGCAGACAAATGTGGCTCCCTGAGGAGTCCAAACCAGCTGGAGGGGTGGAGTCCTGCTGGCAGGGGATGCTTGGGGATAGACCAGTGTCCTTAGTGGCAACTTTGATGGGAATTCCCTGTAGTTCCAGTGTTCTGGGAGAGGGAGAAGCCTGGACAAGGGTCAGGCCGGGATTCAGGGCCCAAGCAAGCAGGTGAAGGGGGATGGGCTCGGATTCCAGGCTGGCTGGAGCTGACACATTCAAGAACTATTTCCTGAGCACCTACTGTGCACCAGGGTGCTCTGCTGGACAGGAGAGTCACCAACTCTGTCTTCTAAAGGAGGTGACACATAACACACAATAATTGCAGGTTGGAATAAATGCAATGAAAGACACAAACGACATGCAGGTAGAGCGTAGGCAGGTGGAGGGTCCCCTTCTGAAAGGTCCACAGGCCTCTTTGGTTGAGACATATGGTCCTGGCAGAGGGAACAGCCTGTGCGGGGCCCTGAGGTGGGAGGGTCTTGGCCTGTGTTGGCAATGGAAAGAGCCTCCCTGAGCAAAGGGCAGGAGGCAGCTGGGTCCAAATTGTGTAGGGCCTTGGGCAAAAATTTGGATTTTATTCTCCATGAGGGGAAGCTATGACGTGGTGTTAGAGTAGGCCTGACATCGTTTGATTTCTATTTTGAGATTACTTTTTTTGCCTGGATTGCATGGTGGGTAAGAGGGGACACAGGGAGATCAAGTTCATGGCTGTCCCATCTGATGCCCAAGTGTAAGATGTGAGGCCCTGGATGGAGGTGGGGTGGAGTGCAGTGGGCACAGGGCAGTGAATGAGATACCACCGATGATGGGAAAGAGGCTTCTTGGCAGTGTAGTGGTAATCCTTTATACTTACAACTGAATTCCATAGTGCAGGAAGTTAAATCTGCTTTTCTTTCCTGCTACCAGTGCTGGGAACACTGGTATGGCTTTTTCTCTTCCTAACAGATTATGGCTTAGAAAACATTTTTCAGCATTTTAGGAGTCTGTATTAGCGTCAGAATATATAACTCTCAATAAAGGAACAAAATGGTGGGGCCTTTGCAGCAGGTACATTCCCAAGGCGGTACGTATCTAGGGATAGCTCATTACTTATTATTTCTTATTGCAAGACTGGCTGCCTTCGGTAGGACTTGGTCACCACAGTGACGGCTGGTTTTACCACATCCATATTCTTACTTAATTTCTGATCTATTTTTTTACAGAACAGTCTCAGAATTCAGTTTCAATCCATTGTCTTAGCTCTTTGGCCTTGCAACGGCTGTCCACACACAACCATTGTATGAAAACCAGTCCCCATGCAATGTAGGCCAGTCATCGATATATTAAGAAAAAACCTGGTTATTGTCGGTGATGAAGCAATGATATTAAGTGCTCTGCCTACTGACATCTTAACTCTTTTGTGGAACAAAAAACCTTAAGCATCATCTTCTTTGCCAAAATGTATTCCCTGCAGGCAGAGTGCTGAACAACCTGGCAAAGTCAGCAACTGAGAAGTACTTAAAAGAAAATCACATTTTGGAATGTGCTGCTGAAATTTCCAGCTTATTGGACAACAGCCCCCGTGATCAGGCTACCATGAAATACACCGAAGGTGTTCTGATGTAAACATATCTTTTTTCTTGAAAAATTATTGTTTTCTGTACTAGCTTTTATTGTTAACATCGATGTTCGAACCCACACTTGTTAATCCATTTCCCACCTAACTGATTGGGTGAAGAAATGCCGAATGTTAGCACTTCCATCTCTGCTTCAGTGGTTCTTAACCAGGGGTGATTCTGCCCCTCAGGGGACCTTGGGCAATGTCTGGAGGCATTTTCAGTTGTCATGACTGGAGAGGTTGATATTGACATCTAGTGGGTAGAGTCCAGGATGATGCTAGACATGAGGTAGTATACAGGACGGCCCCACAACATACTATCAGCCCAGATGTCAACTGTGTTGGGGTTGAGAAACAGTGCCTAGTTTCTTATAAAGATATTCACATGTCTTCTTATATATCACTTTGAAGGTCTTGAATCTCTACCATTATAAACTGCTCTGCTGTTCTGTATCTTCCTATATAAAACAAAGGATGTTTATAAGAATTACTTTTGATAGCACAATGAAGTAGCCAACGTTATCATGCCCAGTAAATACACACATGCCTTTTATTTTCAGGTTTGTTGCTGGAAACACTTCTCTTGCAAGAATGAGATTTCAAGAATGCTTAACTATCAGGAGAAGTTTATTTGGTGAGAAAAACATCCTAGTTGGAGAAATTATGGAATTTTTAGCAGATTTACTATTTTTTCTACCAGGAGATAGTGAAAGGCAAGTTTTTTTTTTTTTTTTACAATTTTATTATGTTATGTTAGTCACCATACAATACATCATTAGTCTTTGACGTGGTGATCCACGATCCATTGTTTTCGTATAACACCCAGTGCTCCATGCAGTACGTGCCCTCCTTAATACCCATCACCGGGCTAACCCATCCCCCCTCCCCCCTCCCCTCTAGAACCCTCAGTTTGTTTCTCAGAGTCCATCGTCTCTCATGGTTCATCTCTCCAAGTTTTTAAAAAAAGATTTTAAAAAATTATTTGAGAGAGAGAGAGAGAGCAAGCATGAGTGGGGTGCGGAGGGGCAGAGGGAGAGAGAGAGAGTCTTGAGCACAACCCTGACATCTTGACCTGAGTCAAATCCAAGAGTCAGATGCTCAACTGACTGAGCCACCCAGGCACTCCAAGGCAAATTTTTATAAAATATTTCAAATAGCATGTCTTCTTCCCCTCCCCCAAAATGCCAGTGGCAGGGAGATCTGGGGTTGAGCCACCAGGGGTGTCTCACTTCTTTGGTTGTAGCCTTGTTCAGAGACCTGAGGGGCTCACCATGCCTGAGAGTTGTGTCCCTGTCTATTTGTCAGGACACTGACCGTATTGTATTTGAAAGGAGCTCTTAGCCCACAAACTGCGTAGAGGTTTCGGCAGTAGGAAAAGTACAAAGGAATATGATGTTGTGTTTCTCTGCATCACTCCCAGGCCTTGTGAGGAAGATGGACAACCGACCCTTGAACCACACAGGTTTGCACTGCATGGGCCCACTTATATATGGCCTTGTTTCCATAAATACGGCACAGGACTATACATGCATTTTTATCTTCCATATGATTTCCTTCATAACATTTTCTTTTCCCTAGCTTACTTTATTGTAAGAGTACAGTATATAACCCAGAGCATACAGATCTCTGCTAATCGACTGCCTAGGTTATCAGTAATCCTTTCAGTCAACAGTAGGTTTTTAGTAGTTAAGTTTTGGGGGAGTCAAAAGATACTGGATTTTCAACTGCACAGGAGTCGGTGCCCCAATGCCCGCATTGTTCAAAGGTCAGCTGTGTTCACTTCCTGAGTCTGTGCAGGTCTCAGCTCCATTGTCTGTGGGGCCACATCCATCGGTCTGCCTCCTGCAACCCCAGGCCAGAACCTACAGTGTCTCAGACTTTCTCTCTCTGCTTTCCTGCTAACTCTTCTCTCCCGGCCGGGAAGTCAGGGGCTCTCCTCAGCTCCCTGCAACCAAGGCCTTGTTAAAGCTGTTAAAGAGAAAATTACTCATAACGATGTAAGCAGGCCAGGGCCAGGGACCCAGAGGGGGGTCTTGCGGGACCAGCCAAGAGGGTCCTTGGCTTCAGGCAGGATGGAAATCAACTGTGAGCCAGCAGGAGGTGAAAGCAGAGTTTATTGAAGATATATAGAAAGTGAGAGGTGTGTGTGTGTTGGGGGGAGATACAGAAGGAACATCCAGGAGACTCAGAAAGGAAAGATCATGAGTCTCGTTTCTGCTTGGGGTCTGGGGGTTTTTACTGAGAGTGGTGGTCTGGTGTACATGTCCCCTTAGGCATCCAGGAACCAGTTAGAACCAAGACGAGGGCCCAGATGTTATTCCTTGGAGCCAGGGGGCCTTGGCATTAAGATGTTTGGTACTGGTGGTCTGGAGTATGCGTATAATGGCTTCGTCCAGTCATTTCTCACCTGGTCCTTTTTTAGATGTTATCTGTTCTAGAGAAATCATTAATTCCTTGTCCCTTACAAGGACATATGTTGTTTGCATTACGAGGCATATATAGAGTGGGGTGGGGGTGCAGGTCCTAGCAAGAGTAGAAGCCAGAAAAAAGCAAAGGAGAAAGTAACTTTTTCTCTCATGGGGTCCCTTCACTTTCTCTGTCTCAGTAACACTTGTTAAAGAAAGGTAAGGTGGACTTCACTCAGGTCCTGCAGCAGGGTTTTGCAGAGGGGAAGAGAGATTGGACCCAACCCCAAATACAAAGAGAAGCTGGGCAGAGGGGTGTCGGTGGATGGAAAATTACCAAGAGGAAGCATTGTGGGGAGGGGATTCTGGCTCAATGGACCTCACAGGATTCTTGCTGAAGGCAGGCCAGGGGGATCAGACCTCACCTGATATGACAGGGGAAGGAGGAACCCAGTCTGATATTGAGGGTGATCAGACATCAGGGGTGGGGGAGTCTCCTTAAACTAACTTAGCAGGAGTCTTGCTAAAATTGGACAATGATCAGATGAACACAGAAGTCTAAAAGTTGAGGCCTACTTGAGAAAGAGTGAGAAGAGCCTGAGCAGAGTTTGGCCAAGGAGAGATTCTTTGTCGGTTTCTGTGTTTAAGAGAGGGTTGTAGGCATGAGAGATGATGGACTCTGAAAAACAAGCTGAGGGTTCTAGAGGGGAGGGGGGTGGGAGGATGGGCTAGCCTGGTGATGGGTATTAAGGAGGGCACGTTCTGCATGGAGCACTGGGTGTTATGCACAAACAATGAATCATGGAGGGCGCCTGGGTCGCTCAGATGGTTAAGTGTCTGCCTTCGGCTCAGGTCATGATCCCAGGGTGCTGGGATCGAGTCCCACATCGGGCTCCCTGTTCCTTGGGAGCCTGCTTCTCCCTCTACCTCTCTCTCTGTCTCTCATGAATAAATAAATAAAATCTTTAAAAAAAAAAAACAAAAAAACAAAAAAAACCAATGAATCATGGAACACTGCATCAAAAACTAATGATGTAATGTATGGGGATTAACATAAGAATAAAAAAATTAAAAAAAAAAAGAGAGGGTTGTAGGTATTATCTATGGATACCATCAGTGTTAGCATCTGCAGGGTCCGACCACTTCTCTCAACAGGTTGGTAGAGAGAAGGGTCTTTGTGAGTCCAGAGAGACAGATGCACCACCCCCTTCCTTTGGCTCCAGCTCATACCCTTTCCTAGCCCCGTCAGCCGACTGAAAGGCAGGGGACGCTCTAGGTTAAATTATGAAGTTGTGAAGTTTTGTTTTAGTAGTTTCTGTCCCTCTGCTCTCTGTTCCCTGTCTTGCTTTTCATTTTCGGCTTTCCACTTGCCCTCTTACCTCTCCCCGGGAAGGTAACCTCTTCCTGCATGCATTTGCTCCCAGGAGAAATGTGATGTTGCTAATTTCTAACACTTAAGTGCAAATCCATATTTAGCCTTTCTAAGAGTATTTACCTGTAAAAAAAGTAGCCCAAATAAGGGAGTGTGTAAGGGTAAAATTACAGGTACTATATAGTAGTGGGGACATGGTGGGCTCTGGGGTCTGAGTGCCTGGGTTCAAATTAGTAACAGCGAGAACTTAACATCTTGGTGTCTCATTCATTTCTTCATTGGTAAAATGAAAGTGGGGATAGTATCTTGCTCACAGGATGGTTGTGAGGACTAAGGGTTCCCGTATGTAAAGTGCTTAGCAGAATGCCTGACACATACCAAAAGAGTTCATTAAATTGAGTTCTTAGTATCACTATTTTGCTCCCCGCCAGATAATTTTTTAGACACTGGATACCAGATAAGCCTCCTTCTGTTCCTCTTAAGACCAGCACAGTGAACAGAGACAGGACTCCTCTTTACAGAAGCAATAAGCGTGACAGTAGAACCATTGCCTCGTGAAAGAAAAATCTAAACACATAGCATACTGTCTGAGTCATCTTGGCTGCCTGGGCTGCCCCACCGCAAATCCAGAGCTGGTGGGGTGTGAATCACAGACGCTTAGTATTGCTCGTCCATTCCATAGGGATGGCCTCTGTGGCAGACGACCTGAGCCCTCACTGGCAATGGTCAACCTTCTGAAACAATGGAAGGCCTTTCTCCTTAGGTGACCACATCTTTCTTAACATTAGTTAAGACCAGGAGATATTTTGCTGTGCAGCTTGACTCACCTCTCACACAGGTGTAGACCCTTTGTCCTGGTGGCCAGGGGCCCTTGTGACAGCTCTCACACACTACAGAAATGATCCGTGGGATCCTGAGGGCCTTGTAGCTTGGGGATGGGGAGGGCTGGATAAATGAGGTCAAATTTAAAAAAAAACCAAAAAACAGGACGGAGAGGAATGAATAAACTGATTAAGAGAAACAGTAGTATGTTCTCAGTAAAATAAATGCCATCTACTCTTTCAGTAAAATAAATGCCATCTACTCTTTCTTGACTTTGTATCCATTCATCAGCCACCTCTTCAAGCTCAAGTTTCTTCCTCCCTTCCCATTTACTGTCATTTAACTTCTACCTCTACCCAGCTCCATTTTGTCTACTCCAGCGAAAGTCATCAGGAACATGTTAAATGTGTCCCTTTGTACTTTTTGATCTTGCTGGGCTTCTCCTGCTGAAGTCCCGAAACAACCCTCTCCTGGTTCCTGAGATACCCTCCCTCCTGACTCTCTTTTCTGATGATCGCTGCTCAGTTTCTTTTGTGGGTTTCCTCTCTCTCCCTCCCTCCCTCTCTGACTCTTGTCCAAATGGTGGCACTGTCTTGGGTTCGGTTCATGGATGCTGTGCTTGGATCTGGTCTCAGTCTTAGCACCTCAACCTTACCTGTGCGAGGGCTTCAGCATGACGTGCTGGCTTCTCGTCTCCATGGCCTTCTCAGTCCTCCATTATCTACTGGATGTCTCCACTTGAGTATTTGGGCATTTCCGAGTCCACGTTCTCAAGACCAAGCACATCCACCCCCTCTTCCTGATGAAATGCATTTTCTCCCGTTTCACCCAGTGTGGACGCCATGGCGTCATCTTAATTGTATTTATATCAGTCACTATGCTAAAGACATTACGTGCATTTTTCTCATCGAATCCTCCAAACAATTTGTTATTCTCATTTTGAATGTGAGAAAGCTGAGGTTCAGGAGATTAGAATGCTCGCCCAGCTTTTAGGTGGTAGAGCCGGGATCAGCACCCAGGGCGTCTGATTGCAGAGCGTCTCTGCCTCACTAACGGCTACCAAGCCCGCCTGACCTGAGAGCTCAGGCTCCTAACCAAGTCACTCTACTGCGAGCACAGCGATAACCCAGCGATCCCAGCACTGGGCCCACAGCATTCAATGTGGCGCGCAGCCTCGGCAGGTCTGTCTCATCTGGGCCCACGGCATCTGCTCAGAACCTCATGCTTCCGTGGACTAACTCGCCTCAGTTTCCCCTCCACACTTCCAGGCAGGCGAATTTTCTAACGTGCACGTTGGATCACATCATTCTCATAATGAAAACTCCTCACTGTTAAAGTCCAAAACCCTTAGGTTCGCAGGCAGTGCCCTTCATGAGTGGCTGGTCCTTTGTTTCACTCTTCAGCCTCTGCTCCAACCTTGGGAAGTTCTCTGAGGGCAAGGATTAGTCTTACTCATCCTTGAGCCCCAGCCCTGAATGTTTGTTGAATGAATGAATGCAGTGCTTCTTGGATGCAAAACTTTAATTAAATTTCTCTTTTCCAGATTCCAAAAGAAGCAAGCAATTGAATATTATAAACAAGTGATACAAATAAAGGAAAATGCGGGGACTTTCACCAACTCCTCACTCGTCAGGAAGCAGCTGAGCATTAGCCTCAGTGATACCTTGTGTAAATTAGGTAATTGCTGATGTGTTTCTATTAGAAGCGGGTGACTTTTCCCTTTGACCTGCATACTTTGCTTATTTTTAAAATGTCTTTATTTTTGAAGCAGACACTCCTGTTCCACAGACTTTCAACTTTTTTTTTAAATTTATTTATTTGGCAGAGAGTGACACAGTGAGAGAGGGAACAAGCAGGGGGATTGGGAGAGGGAGAAGCAGGCTTCCCGCCGAACAGGGAGCCCGATGCGGGGCTTGATCCCAGGACTCTGGGATCATGACCTGAGCCGAAAGCAGACACTTAACGACTGAGCCTCCCAGGTGCCCCGACTTTCAACTTTATAAGCTACTTGTTTACCTTCCTTTATTAGGAATGTGTCTTAGTCTGCTTGGGCTGCTAGAACAGAATGCCATAGACTGGCAGGCCTGAACAGCAGAGATGTATTTCTCAAAGTTCTGGAGGCTGGGAAGTCTAAGGTCAAGGCGCCAGTAGACTCGGTGTCTGGGGAGAGCCTGCATCCTGGTCCACAGACAGCTCTTTTCTCCTTGTGTCCTCACATGGTGGAAGGAAGGGCACCTCTTTTATGAGGGTGCTAATCCCATTCATGAGGGGTTCACCCACATGACCTGATCACCTCCCAAGGGCCTCATCTCCAAATACCGTCATTTGGGGGTTAGGACTTCAACATAAGAATTTTGGGAGGGGGGACAGAAACAGTCCATAACAGAAAGAGATCCTCTTTTCTTTTTTCAAGATTTTATTTATTTATTTGAGAGAGAGACAGCACAACAGAGAGAGTCAGGTATAGGGAAAAGCAGACTCCCTGCTGAGCAAGAAGCCTGATGGGCCTCCATCCTAGGACCCTGGGATCATGACCTGAGCCGAAGGCAGATGCTTAACCTACTGAGCCACTCAGGGGCCCCAGAAAGAGATCTTCTGGAGGTCTTTCCATCTCATTTCTCACTCTTTTGTTGGCGGGGCATGATGCCCAACCACAGCCCTCTCCTGTCAGGATAGGTTTCCTTCTTCCTTCCGATTCTGTTTAAATCACTGTTTGTATAGGAATAGCCTGTTCACGCTTATTCCCGTGACACTAAAGTTAACCGGTGACTGAAAATCACAAATGGACCCACCTTTGATTTTACATATAGAATGTAAGACTCAGTGCCTCAGACCTGGCTCAGAGATTTGAAGGCACTTTCTGATTTAAGATAAAAATTAAAAACTTAAATGAAATGGAAGTTAAAAATTGAAAAAAAATTGGTCTTAAACCTAAGAGGGTCGGGGTTGGGTACCTTCACTCCTCTTGCTACTTGTTGTTTCAATTATTTCTGTTTTGCTTCTCTTCACGGGACAAGTTCCCATCCTTTCTTTGAGTTTCTTCCACCAGAATGTTCTTATTGCCTGTGGTTTGTAGTGAATGCTGTTTCTTCCTCACTGGCACTACCGTTACTGAACCTAAAGTCAGTTTCATCTGTCTCATGCCCAGTTAGCCAATCTAAGCCACCTGGTTAGAAGCAGCGAAAGCTTTTTTATCAGAAGGGCAGCCCGATGGGAAGGCAAGAGATCCGTCTTGAACCTGCCTTGTCTTTGTTGAGCGTACGGACAGTTTATGTGGGGCTAATAAGGTATGCGGGGGTCAGGGTGGGAACTGGATGGGCCTTGAAACTTCATGAGGAGAGGCTCAAAACAGAGATACTGTGCTCTGGGGACATCTGGGCTCCATCCAACGGTCTCAGAGCGTTACTTGTTGGCTTTGGGTCTGTAAAACAAGCGTTATCAGATAGCTTCCCTCCTTGGTTCCTGTAGCGAGCGCTGGGAAAAAGAAAACGGGGACAAGGTTAATGATTCTTGCAAAGCTGTAGAGGAATGTGCTTACGTGCAGCCCACGAGGTTACAGTGGAGGAAGGGCCTAGTGACAGTTCACCTAGATAAGGAAACTTATGCCCTGGTGAGGTGGAATTTATCTCCACTTGAAGGGCCATCCTCCAGGCTGACTGTTGACGAGCTCCCCAGAGGCCTCGTGAGAGAGGGGTCCTCCTTGCCAGACTCTGCTCCAGCCAGAGACCAGAGTGGCCAGGCCCTGTCCGTCCCTGCCTCACTCCTTATTTGGCCCAGGACCCCGTTAGCTTGCTCTGCAGATGGGGCCACACGGTGAGTTTTGTCCTCTGTCTGGAGTGTCGCTGTCAAACCTGGGAATTGAGGAGATTGGAGAGTTTGATTGGGGACTGCAGATAATGCTGGGACAGCAGGCTGGAGGCCAGCCACAGCTGGAGGGAGGGAGGGGGTGGGGGTGATCAGGGCTGCGAGTCCCGGGGAGGGGGTGGGGGTGCCTCCAGTGAGCGAGTTCCCAGTGTGCCAGGTAAAGACCTCTCAGCCCGTGGGCAGCTTTATTTCTTTCGGTGGGTTAGACCAGAAACCTCAAGTGCCATGACTAGAAAAATTTTGGAATACTGTCAGGGATCATGAAATCTCATTGCCACAGGGCATGGCCAACTTCCTTCTAAACAGGTTTTCAGCCCCGTGTGATTTTATCTCTCAGGACAGAAGTCTGGAGAAACCTTGATTGTCATGATCGGGGGGTGGGGGTGGGGGTTGGGGGGCAGGGAGCACTACTGGCATTTAGTGGGTGGAGGCCTGGGATGCTGCTCAACACCCTACAGTGCTCAGGACAGCCCCCCCAACAGCAAAAAATTATCCAGGTCCATGTCAAAGTGCCAAGATTGAGAAACCCTGAGTTAATCAACCATTTTCCCCAGCGTGCATGTTTGTTGTCCGTTTTACAATAAAACACGATTGCTTTCAGCCTAGTCATTTGCTAAGGAGGAAGAAGTCTTAAATACTTGCTATCTGCAGGGAAAGATTATTTTCAGTCCATAGATTTAGGAGCACGTGCGTGTGTGTGTGTGTGTGTGTACAGTGTTTTTTCAGTAAGCGTTTTCAGGCTGAGTGCATGAAGGATTTTGTTTACAACCAGAAAATACAGTTGCAAATCTATGCAAAAGGAACTATACACCTAATCTGGTTGCTTTGTATTAATAGTTTGTTGCCAGTTGTGGTTTCTAGTCTATGATGTAAGTATAATATATTCGTTTGCTCTCAGATAAGAGGTTGATTAGCATGTGCATCACACTTACACAAGGAAGCTCTCAGCAACAAGTAACCCCAGGGGTGGTTAGGACTTGGGGTCTATGTACCTAGCTTAGCAGGGGAAAGGGAAGTGGAGAAAAGATAAGGGCATTCAAGGTAAAAGCAAATTATTTTTTAGAAAGATAAATGAACCCTTACGAGAATAAATGGTAGAGTTTGCAACAGTGTGTGTCTAGGTGTGGTGCTAGCTTCTTGTGTCCCAGGAGAGAAGATGTGAGTTGCCCTGGGGAAGGAATTTATAATGCTTGAGTCCTTTTGGGGGACTCTGCTTTTAGGCACATACAGGATTTTAAGAACTCAAATGCCTTCAGCTCAAAATATTATGTCATCAGGAATGTGGAATGCTTTGGGGTAGCATATCCGGATCCCCTTTGCCTACCTTTAATAGAGAATGTCTATCTGAATAGAATGTGCTTAAGTGGACTCCATAAAATAAGAAGTAATCCAGAGCCACATATACTCCCGACTCCTCATCGCTCGCCGTTGTAAACCAAGTCTTAGCCCTGTAGTAAAATTGTTAGGGAACGTCGGTCATCAGAGCACTCCTTTGACACGATGTAATTTTGCATTGAGGAAGAAAAGAACCATGGTATACTGACGATTAGCAGTTATTTATTCAGTACACATTTATTTTAATCACTTTACAAATTGTAATGCATGTTGGAATTGTAAGGATGTTTTGTCTTACCTGACTAGTTTGTAGATCTGGGGTGGTTTGGGAGAATTATGCACTCTCTAAAGATAAACAAGCCTCCTACTGCCCCCCAGCCCCCTGGGAGCACTCCGCATGAAGCTGCCCACGGGGATGTTAACACAAGTCATCGCTGGCATCTGCCCTGTGACTTTGGATTGGAGGCTCATGTATGAAACTACTGTTGTTCCCTTCGTCTCCAGCTTGTCTCCCTTGTGGGGCCAGTTCCTCGGGTGTTCGGCAGTGGGCTGCCTATCACTTTGAAGTTGTCCCTTAGGTCCTTCAACATAAATTTTATGAATGCCATATGGCCTGTATTTCAATTCAGATCATCCTACACATACCTTCTAAATTTGGGAACAATCTGTCTTGGTCTTTTCTGGATGCAGTAACAGACAAATAGGTGGTAACAAGGTTCCCTGTGCTTGAAGGACTGTCCTAAGTATGCCTGGGATATGAAAACAAAAGACAACTTTTGCCTTTCACTAGCTACTTACTTCGTTAGGAGGTAAAACAAGCCTGTAATAAAAGATGTAACATGTGAAAGGTTTAGAACATGGCCTGGGGGGAGGAGACTGAACTGGGTGTGAGTTCTCGCATGGCTGTAATCAGGTATGGGATCCCAGCAATCACAGCTTCTCTGGCCTGGGTCCGTCTCTGACTTTTTAAAATAAGGGTGTTGAGTTCTTTGAGGCCCTTTGCAGAATTAATAGTCCACACTTAAATGTAAAGGAAGACAGTGATCAGTAGCAGGAGGTTTTTCAGGGAAAACCTCTTGGGAGGAACCCTTAAGGAAGTGGAGGGTGTGAACTGGTAGAGAAGGGGGCACTTCTAGGCAGAACACCTGCATGAACAAAGATAGGAATAAAGAAAGATGTGGAGGGGACAAATTGGAGGCTGTCATGAGGGGCTGTGAGAAAGGGTGGGACACGAGGTGGAGAAGCAGGAGAGCAGGCAGTGTTGGGAGGAGGCAGCGGTGTGCTGGTCTGAAGGCAGTCCTGCGTGTGGGCAAGTGGAGATTTAAGTCTGAAGAAGGCTGGGGGGCCCGTGATCCTCTCGTGGGCTTATTCTCTTTGGGAGATTGTTTTGGAAATTATTTACAATTAGTTAGAGCTTCTTAAGGCTGTCTGAAATCTGTCTCCCAGTTCAGAGTGAAGCAAATTTCCTGTCCCTTGTA